GGGGTGGGGTGGGGGGGGTGGGTACTTTGCAGGGGAACACAAAAAGGCAGAAAGGGTGAATGATCCAGCCCTCAGCATCTATGGTTGCTAGTTGTTCAAATAAGATACTGGACAGAATATCTCTGTCCAGACAGAAATATTTAATGGGAGCTTATAAATTCACCACAGCATGAAGTCAACATAAAAGAGGTCTAATTTAGTCACTGGAAATACACCAAGGGAAGTTCTCATATATGCAGCAGCACTCACTGTATTTCCTGAATGCAAAGTATGTGCTGAGCTCTTACATAAAAGAAGATCACTGTCAATTCCACGTGTGACAAAGCAGTCTGTAGCAGACACCTGTATTTACCTATTGACCTCCCTTCCTCGTGCACACACAGCTTCTTAAGGTATAAAACCAGAGCACAGCCCACCAATATATGATTAAAAGACAGTTAAAGAGTTGTTCCTTAAGAACATCGCTTCCTCAAGACAGTACTTCATCTTGAAATTGCCCGTTTAAGCAGATTAGATTCTTTTCCCTGGTCAGGTAACAAATCCAGCACCGCCCACTTCACTCCAAATTACAGGATTAGTCTGACTCATCTCAGATCTAGCCAGCCCATGTTTCCTGCACTACAGCATTACTCCCGTTCTTGTCTTCTGGACAGCCATCCTGAGTTTTATTTAGACTTTTCTATTACTCATCCAACATCAGAGGACTCCTCTGCATTCCACGACTAGTGACTTTTGACTTCAAGATGTCTATTTTAATTTACTTACTCAGAAATAACAATCAATTATGTTGGTCTTACCTGTTTCTCACTGAGATGGTTGTTTAGTAATAAGCTGAGATCAGCTTTCCAATGAAACTATAATATGCTTTTTTGCACCTAAAATGTGAGAGAATCTCAGTTATGTGTTTTCACAGATTCGCACAACAAAAAGCAAAGATTTCAAACCAGAAAGCACATTTATCGTGTTGTGCCTATTTTAGGAAAATATTTTCCTCCCCCTCATCAAACGTAAAAAGATTGAAAATCTCATAACAGGAAGTGAGAAAGCGAGAATTACCTATCTATTTACCTTAGCGTCATATTCAGTTTGGATTAGAGCACGAGACACAAGTTAGGCTTAATTTATAAGCATGCTGACCTCCTTCTGTGGAACAAGTTTTATTCTACTTGACTCCAACCAATTCCTGAGGACTTTTTAGGCCGAAAAAGGGAAAACCCCACCACTAACAAAACCACAAGCTACCTGATTTAACATTTTCCTCTTCAGGGCCACTTTCCACCCACTGGCTGTCATTGGCTAGCAATCGGTTTTGTGATTCACTGAGCGGTCGAGGAGGAAAGGTCTGATTGGCGCCAGAGCTGAAAAGTAAGCAAAGTCAACAGGAATTCTGTAATAGCAAGTAGCTGCTTATGCCAGACATTTCTAGAGCAGTGAAATTACTTAAGAGCAAAACAAACAAAACCCCCTACACTGCCAACTAAAAATGGGCCCCTGCCCCCAACCCTAACTCTCCTATAGGCTTGTGCCAGTCATCAGCCTAAACCCTTACCTGACATAGGCCACTCAGAGTTCTGATAGAAAAAAATGCACAGACTGATAGACAAGAAACGCCATACTGACAACAATGCTACTGCCACACAGGCAGAAAGAAAACCTAACCACAACTGTCTGGAAGAACAATGTAATGCATTTTATCCCATCGGTAAATGCTTGGGTCTTCTGCTGAATGTGTTCCTAACGCAAAAGGACACTCTGCTGCTTGCACATGGGTCTTGAGTAAATTCCACAGGTTATGTTGCACTGGAAGCAATTTCTTCTCAGTCTTGCCTTTGAACCTCCCCTAATGCCTAATAACTCAAGTCCCTGCTATTGACAGCAACCTTTAGCTACGAAACCACCTAACTATACTGAAGATTTCTAAAACGGCAAACGTAAACACCCCCAGAAGTTTCACAAACTCCTGTGTCTTTGAATCTAAAGCAGGCTTCCTGAAAATACACTGAAGATACAAAACATGCAAATCCAGAGGGATAGAAAGTAATGAGCTAAAAACCCTCCAGTGCTAAAAATGAGCAACAGGCACAGTGATCCACCTCTCTTGCAAACTGTGTCTCAGCATCCCTTGTTTAAACATGCTGGAGGAAGCGAAATACAAATAATACCTTGTCATTCTCTCATTCAAAAATACATCTTAACCTTTTTTCCCCATGGACAATTATTCAGTCTTCCCTAAGACTTTTTTGATGGTTGTTAAGAGCCAGTAAGATCTCTTACTTCCTGTATTACTGCTTCTTTAGAGCCACAGCCTCTGTTACAGGTTAAAAGCAAGAAACAGACTTTCTGCATCAAGCAGCACCATTTTTTTAAAGTCTTGATCTATTCTGTCCTTTTCTGAAAACTTACAAACTCACTCTGATGATGACAAGAAGTATAAAAACTAAAAAATAATTCTGAAACAATTTTTTCTCCAGATGAAGTAGAGTACATCAGTATTTTAAATGCTATAGTTACCTTTTGGCAGGTTCATTTTGGCTTGAGACAGCAAGTTGCTCTGGATCCATTATCACCAAACGAGTCGGAAAATTACATCCGTCACCCAAACTAAACCAGAAACAAAGATTCAAATCACTGTTTGTAGTTGACTTACATTAATGGAACAAGCATGCATGCAAAAGGCAAACACTTCAGGCTCGAATAATTACTGAGTGCAGTACTGAAATCCAGACTTGAGCAAGGCAGTTCTACCACTAAGCCAGATGATCAGTTAATTAAATCTTGGAGCTCAAATGATTCCCACCCTATCACTCAGGATGCATTGCTGAGCACAGCACTAGTCCATGTATTGCAGAAACACCACTGTGTTTCTGTAGCCCTACTCTTCCCCCAACCACTGTGCACAGGTAGTCAGACTATCTGGTATTCATAACCCCAGCAGTTATAGCATAAATAATATTCTGGTGGCCATGCTTTCCTCTCCATCCATCATTTTGAGGTTAGCTAAGCCTTCTTTTAAAGCAAATTTCATCAGGATAAAATCCAGTGGCAAAACAGACTGCTGCATCTACAATATAGCTTCTGTCTTTTTTTAGTCACATGAAAAGTCAGGGTAGCTTAGCAGACAGCTGAGGCAACTGAAGATCCTGTTATTACCTCTGCTGTTTGCTACCAGAACTCAGCTTCACAAATGGGTTCACCAACTGACACACAATGCCCCAAAACTTTGTTCTGCTGACTTTCTGGAGTGGTGGAATGGGCAGAAGGTTAGTCTTGCTTCATCAAGCTTCTCTGATGCTCGTCTGCAACTCCCTAACCCTGGCTCAACTGAAGTTTTAAAACCAGCATCTTGCATCGTATCAGAATTTATTTTTGCACTGTTGCTTATTTACATGCACTTTCTCAGGTGGCTTTCAGTACTGAAACTATCAGCAACAGGAAAGCTGTCAAGTTTCTTCAGGGGTAAGAGGGAGTGTTTTTAAACCGAAGTTTCAATGCAGCTGGAGTTCAAGCATTTGGATCTCCTATGAGGTGCTGATTTCTGCTCTATAATCACACACTAATGCTACCACCAATGTTTTAAATACACTTCTCAAAGCTTTCCAATCTTCTGTATTTAGAAGGCTCTTCTCACTGAGGCCCTTCTCTTTGAATGAAAGCAGTGTGCAGAGCTTGTTCAGTTTTCTCCTGCACATCTTCCCTACACCAATACTCATTGTGCAGGATTTACAAGTTGGCTTTTCAGTTGTGTTTTGTTTTTTTAAGAGAAGGGGAAGCAAAGTGAGAGTCATGGAATCTACTTATTCCCTAATTCATTCCCACTCAGATGGAATACCTGGTAAAGATAGGGAGTAGCCAATACTTCTTTTCGTCTCCAAAAACCTCCCTCAGATTTTTGCTGCATCCAAGAGAAAAGCCATTTTTATCAGGGCCATTTCGAAATGTGGGTGCACGGAATGTTTCTGGAAAAGAAAAACACACAATATTTCTAGAGCGATAAGGAGTCAGGAAAAACAAATAAATAGCCTCAAACTTCTCAATTGTTAAAACAGTGTTGGGCAAGCTGAGACTATCTTGATACTTATTATGTGGAGAAAAAAAAAGAAGGGGTCACCTTAAATAATTAGAGAGGATAAAAAAAGTCCCAGGCTTAAATAACAAAAATAGAAATGAAAGGTAAGAAGTTTCACATAAGCAGAACAGTCATCTTTCTCTCCTTATATTTAACATAAGGTCTGACACAGAGCTAAGCACCATTACCATGCCAAAGAAACTACATCCCTTATTTATGAATGGCTAGCTCTCTGTGAATATTCCTTAGCTGTAGCTATGTCAAGAGAAAAAGCACTCGAACACCCCTCCTGTCAAGCAATCAAAAAAATTCCTTTTTCTCCATCAAAAAGTTCTAGCAACTTGAAAATTATTTCAGTTTCAATCAACCCACTTAATTTTGAAGATAGAAATTTAACTTCCATTGAAAGGCGTAAGATATTAACTTACTCAGTTGTGGAAATACCCACCAGTCCCTGTCATCTCCGCCCCGCAAAAAACACTTTCAAAAATGCATTAGCAAGAACTTCAGATATTTTAACCAATGCCCACAACTTGCTTACGCTGGTCAATGCCATTTAAAGCATCTGGGCATAGAAGTTACGGGAATCTCTTCTATTATTTAGGAAACGTGCAGCAGTGTTTCCATTTTTGCTGCATTACTTTTACAAGCCACTTCCTAATAGCAAGGTCTCCATTTTATTTCAAAGGATTTACGAATATTCTTTTGGATCTGGTTCAAACTGTAGTGTGTTCAAATACTTCACCTTCATTGGGGCCATCCAGCTACTCGAAGTATTCTAACAACACGGGCACTGCTGAGTAACAATTGTGTTATGTACTTAACACTGTATAAAAACACAACAAAAATGCAGTGCCTCAGAGGGCTCAAAAATACAAAAAAAATATTTAACATTTATCATGAATCCACACACTTGGCTCCAGCAGAGGACCCCTGCACATGCTTCATTTTCCCATATATTTCACCTTTAATTACTTTCACCAAATATGCTTCTTACTGCACAGTACTTAAAAATTCCATTTATGTGTGATGGCATATCTTGTAGGCCTCACATTCTCATCGACTTGTTGGCTTTCTGGACAAGGAACAGTTGGATAGTCCAATTAACTGACCTATGGTTGATCTGTTTTTGCTAACTAGCCAGCAGTGGTAGCTGAAGAGTGACAGTATGCTGATGAAGAACATGGCTGCCACAAAGAAAAGGAACAGTACGTGGAATTTTGCATGGGTATCAGGCAATTCATTCTGGAGAGAAAGAGAGAAAGAGATTAATATATTAACACTTTTTAGCAACTAATGCAGTATTATTGCTAAACATTTTCTGCCACGCCCATTCTGCTATAGGTCTTTCACCTCACTTTACACAAAGGGAAAAAAAAGACCCCTTCAATCTGAGTTCGGTGGCGTGACTGCATGTCCATCTGTTTGATAGCACTGTGTATTATCGAGGGCTAGTTTTTTTTAAAGGCACAGTAGGGGACAAGAAAAAAAAATTCCTATTCTAAGAAACATTAACTGTGCAGCCACACCCAGAGAGACATGGAGAAAACGTGTTCTAAATCACTTTCTTTGAAGGGAAGAAAATACAATAGAAACTTCCAAACTTTTTCCTCACAAGGTAATAATACTGAGCCTACTTCTGAACCACTCTGAGGAATGGAAAAAGGGAATCATAGAAAGACATGGAGTTGGAGGGACCTCTGGAGATCATTTAGTCCAACCCCCCCACCAGAGCAGGTCCACCTAGAGCAGCTTGCACAGGAACGTGTCCAGGCGGGTTTTGAATGTCTCCAGAGACGGAGACACCACCACCTCTCTGGGCAGCCTGTTCCAGTGCTCTGTCACCCTCAAAGAAGTTCCTCAGAAATGGCTGTCATACTGCGTTTCCAAGACTTAATACAACTCCTAGACAACACCTGGGACAGATCTTCAATTTTTGATGACCTCTAAGGTTTAGGCAACAACCAGCATGTACCTAGCAAAACAAATTGGCCATGCCCAACAAAGCGGAAGTGATTCACCAGAAGATCTACATGAAAAACAATTTCAGTACAACCACCATATGAAAAACAACCTCCCACCCATACTCTACAGTTGATTCCACCCCCAAACCCATTTTTAGGCTTGCACTTTCAAGAGGCCAATGGGATTTGTAATAATACTATTCTAGTTCTATATCCTCAAAATCACAGTACTTTTAAGTAGTTGACCTTTAACAGCACTATGAAAGCAGAGAAGCTATTTTTATTCAGCTCTTTAGTTAGCATTTTTGCCATTACTTTTTCCATTAGCTCATTTAGTATACCCACTTATCTAAGGCTGATTGTTTTTTATAAGACTAAAACACATTTCAATTAAGATCAAGTGCACATAGATATACCTATGACCCTGTACACTGCCTATATTCATAGGCAACAGATTACAAGTCTCCTTCCTTCTATGATGGTGTGAATAGCTACCATGAATGACTGGATTAGAAAAATTATAGTAGAACAGTATTTAAATAATTACAGCAATATTGGATTTTACCTTTGGACAATTCTCTGCAGCTTTCCTGCGGCAAAGCTTTGTGCAAACAAAGACAATTTATTAAACACTAGTATTATGTTAAGATGAAGTGTTTGAAAACAGCACAGGCTTTGTTAAGAAAGAAATGGTTGGGGTGCAACACGTGCTCTCGAACGTGCCGAGTTCCAATGCCCATCAGCAGTCGCAGCCTCTGTTCTCCAAGCAAATGGAGGGGAGAGTACTTCAGAGCACACTGCTAACTTCCAAGGCATGAAACCTTCTTCCAAAGCATAGAAGTACCACTATTTGGATTGTGGCTGGAAGACTTTCAAGAGGTTCCTCAGCCTGAGCAGCATAAGCACACCGGGTGCATTCTTTGCTAGTTGTTTCCATCACAAGTAAGGTTAATGTGAATATTCCATATGATGAAACTATTCATAAAGGTCTGAAAAGCTTAGAATACTCCAGAGGTATAAAGCAATGGTTTGTAAATTACAAAATCTTTCTGATTTCAGAACATATCTATTGCCATTAGATGTAGTTTCAGTCAAAACTGTAAAAAAAATAAAATTAATTGCCATTCTTTGAATAATTTTCTTTGTTTAAAAAAATAACCCTTAACATGGCAGTACAGGTTTTCTTCTTCCCGATATCATTCAATATTGAGATTTGTTTGTGGGATGTATCTTTAGCATAACATCTGAAGTTGAACCAGTACTTAAGAAAATAAAGCAAGAAACAAGAAAGCTTAGTTTAAATTAGCTTTTAAATTCCAAACTTTATACCTGAAGAGTGGTATTAGCCATCTTAGCTAAGATGCTAGCGCTTAACGAATCTGTTGTAGGCAAGATGTATGGATTTTAAGTTACATTAATCTGTGCAGAAAGCCGAGGGAGAGCTCAAGCCTTTCACCCTGGAGTTGGGCAGCACATCAGCATTTTCAAAAATGCTGGCTGCCATCACATCATACTAGAGTAAGCAAATGATCGGAGAGTCCAGCTCTCTGAACTGCCATCTAAATTCAATTTCATTATTTAATGCCTCTTTTTTTTCTGGATGCAGTTTTGCCTAGTTTGTGCAACAGTCCCTTCTCCCCCCTGCTGTAGGGCTATGTTGTATTTTGCAATCCTTTGAAACCAAGGCTAGCAAAATACATACTCCAATTGCTGCTTATTCCTAAGCTTCATGTTAAAGCTATGATGATTTTTCCTACCTCGGAGCCCACTGCAGTGTTTCCCAGTTTCCTAATTGATTTTTTTAACTTCTATTTTTATGACTCTTCTGAATTGCATATTTCAATGAAGTGCTTCTCTATAAAGAATTCCCAGCCCAGTTGATTTTGAAGCTCAAAGAGCTGCAGCAGCTTAGTTCTTGTGTATTTTCCACAGGCCAGAAAATACAAGTTTATTCCAGTTGCATTTTCCTAAAATAATAGCTCTATAACCTGGAGAAGGATTTTTTGAATTATGCACAATTCATCTGTATGATCCCCAGGGAGCATTTACATCTTCTGACCACCTAGTGTCAGCCACTGGTTTTAAGTTCTTGAACATTCAGTTGCAAAACTGAAGAGTCTTAAAAAAGGACACTTCCTTCCTGGGGAGAGCTTTGAGCGCTTCTAACAGTTGTGTTCTAGCAGCACTTCAGACATTTGTTATTTAAAATCATTACAATCGGCACCAGCACAGCAGCAGAGACTTGCAGGTGAGAGAGCTGCAGAGCTTACAAAGGGAGGCAATTTGCACAATAAAATTCAGGCTACTCAGCACACATAATAGACTGAAGCCAGTCACTATTCTAAAGAGTCCCCTACAAACTCCTTCACAAGTGTAGAATCATTTGAGCATATGTCAGGTCACAAAAAAAGCCAAACAAAACCCCCAACCAAAAAAGTGCTGTCAGAGATTGACTCATTACTCATCTTTTAGTAGGTAGGTTTAGCTTCAATCTAGAAAAAAATAGAAGATGTGGGATATGTCCTTATGTGTATATGCAAGAGCAATGAGTTCCAAGCAAGGATCTGGAATCACTCTCTTTTTTTTCGGTTGTGGTTTGTTTTTTTTTTTCTGTTGTTGATACAATCAAAGCTTTGCAGAAGCCTGTGCCATCTACCCAGAACATATATCACATCCTTCAACTGGCTACACTCAGGATTGCCAAAATAATTTGGAGGACAATGAAAGACACTAAAAACAGCTGGAAAATATACAAGTTTCAATGGGGAGGGAGTGCAGCAAGGATGAGACTACCACCATTCACTGTATAAACAAAGCATTGAGGACTGGGCGTTCAGCCAGCGCTGGTGTTTGTGTCAAATACATTTGGATAAACTGAGGCTTTATCTGCTCATCTTTAACAACTTCCTAGGTACAAATAAAAATTTCATGAGTATAGGGAAAGTAGTTGTGAGTATAAAAAAAAAAAAGGAGTCATGTTTCCTTGATCAACAAAACAGATTTTAACATCCACATTAGCCTGTGGTAAACATTTACAGCCTGTGTGGCTGTTCTACCACTGTATGAACAGCATCAAGATCTTTCTTTAGCACTTCTGCATAGAGCATCAAAGACACTATGTGAAAGTCTTGCACATGCAAGTGGGAAACACAAAGACTTTTTTCAGCAGAAGAGGCAGGTAAATAGCATGTCTCACAATGTTTGCAAGTATCTGCATATGTGTTTTGTCTCCGTGCAAGTATTAACAATGTAAAAGAATGGACTGCTAGAATTTGTGCAGTTGTCACATACACCTTCACCACCTCATACTGCAAGTTCTGAAGTGACCACGGCTACAGTCCCCAAGAAGCAGTTCAGCTTCCATCCCAGCACTGGATATATACAGCAGCTTGTTGCACACTTTCTCTGAAACACATCTATGAGTAAGCAAAAAGAAGCACTACCTTCTGAAGGGATGCCATAACATTTCTGACAGTCAAGCTTTGGGGGGGAGAAAACAACATCTAGAGAGCCTCAACAGGAAATGTCAAAATAGTAATCTGCCTGATGTGACAGCAGACAACACTGTGTATTAGCAATATACTGAAGCTGTCCAGTGACAGTACACGTCAGCAGTGCTCTGCTCTCATCCGGGTACAGATGCAGAACCTTTCAGGACTCTACTGTGCAGTCAACAGCACTTGCCTTAAAGCTAGAGACATACTAATTTTTGCAAGCCTACATGATTATGGTGCTGCCACCTCTTTCCAGAAGTCTACTTTAATCAGGGTATTTAAGACCTGAGGGATAATAGCTTTGTGGAATGAGTGATTTAATATGACTAAAATGAGTCAGACACCTACTCTAATGATAAGATCGTGGCATCACCAGATTCTGTCTTGGAAGTAACCAGAAATTAAATCAACAAGTGCAAGCACACAACTACATTGTCTATTGTCACATTTCAGAAGTAGCCCATTCTTGCAGGAAGCACTTTAAACAACTAAATCATTAAAAAAAAACTCATCCCTTTAAAGTTTGCTTCCTCTGCTTAAGGGTCCACTTCAATAATGTGTCCGATGGGCTTTGGAAGAGGCTTGCTGCAAATGTTGGTATTAAATGGTCATTGTGGTCAGATGTCCTGCAGACTTTCGTGGCACTAACAATTATGAAGTGAGGTGACAAAGCAAATTAATTTTCTTTGCTCAAGCACTGACTGGTAAATATGTAAGAGCGCATCTACGGTTTCATTTAGAAATTGCATATGAAGCACTGGAAAGCAGCCAGGCAGATGTCTGGGAGTGGCACATTCACAAATTAAAAATTTAACTATTTACAGTCAGGCAACAGTGAACAGCAGAATCAGACCATTTAATTTGAAGTATCTGTTAAGCCACAGCTATGACCGATAAATATGTTTATGGCTTTCATCTCACACAACACTGACAGCTCAATTCCCCCAGTTGCTTGCTCTCCAGCGACAGGCCGCTAGACAGAACTGACAGACTATAAGAAAGATAGTACTTTGGCAGATCAGACCCATAGGCTTAGATGAACACAAATGTAGGTACTTTTTGCACCATTTATCTTACCTGTCTAATGCCAACTCTCTCAAAGTACAGCTATTCTCAATACTTGATCAAGCTTCTCTTACCCTGACAGGGCAACATCTTTTTGCTCCAGTAGAGGTTATTTCAACAGCTACAGATAATGACTGCTTTTCCCAGCTACCCTGACAGCAACTAACGTCTAAGAAATCTATGTGCTGTTATTTACTTATAAAGATGTGATGGAGAGCCTTCCACTTACATTTTTCCCATGCTACTTAATGGAAACTGATTAAGAGAATTCTGACACTAGCTCTTCTGTGTAGAGACAGGAAGGCACAGTACAAGATTTTGGAGATGAAAGGGAACAACATCAGAAGACACTGTTCAGCCTGGAACGTGACTGGAACAAACCTGATAGGAGGGATATAACACTGACGTACAAGGATGCTTGCCCTTCACATAAGCTTTATTAAATCTAGTGAGATGAATGTACGTGTATTGATCATTTGACGACTGATAACAGTTGCAAGGAAGATGTATATCGTTAACACTGTATGTATCTTAGTGTTCTACCCATATCAGATCAATAAAAGCCACTAGTATGAAGTCCAGACACGCCTATGTAGGGAATCTAAACCAGAGCTCAGCCAGTTCCCAAGAAATTAATTCGCCTTATCTGGTAGCAGTTTATCCATAAACAAGTCTAGGAAGATACAAAGCTGTTATTTGTATTTCACATTTGTCAGTATTTTTATATATACACGCATGTATATATATACATACATATATAATTGTTTGATATAACCAGTTTTTTCTATATCTACATATCTATATCCAATAGTCTCAAAAAAACCTTAGCTGTGCCACTCAATTTTGATGGAGGAGAGAAATTGCATAGTGTCCTCATTGGAAATTCTGCCCCCAATTACTCATCCTGGGCAGTTTAATACATTTAAGTCATTAATATTCAGAAGGTTCTCCTGCTTCAGTCGCTTCAATTGGTGCTGTTAATGGTAATGAACTATGGAACAGAGTAAATGGTGAGTGACAACATGCTGATGCAGCCTCCAATAACACATGCAAGATTAAACAAATGAACAACAAAAAAAAAAGCCTTAGAACTTACTGTCCAAAACTTTATGAAGTACTGCAAGACTGTAGCAGCAACAAACAGACAGTACAGTAAGGAATACATTAAAAACAGGAGGAAGAATTTGTAGTTAGAAAATCCCACACAATTATTCACCCTAGAAGGAGGGGAAAGAGAAAGAGGTTACTGTGATATACAAAAAATAAAATAAAATAAAACCCAATACATTCAGCTTTTGCAGAGCATAACGTGTATGATGTCAGTGGTATGTCCAAAACAGTCAGCCACTAGTCTTTCAGAAGCATTTTAAGCCACCATTTTGAATGAAGTCTCTTGCCTTGGGCCAAATTATCTGGGCTCCCCACATAAATTTTGCCCCCCCCTCCGAAGTTCTACAGGACGTGACATGAGCTGGCAAAGCGTATGATACATACAGTCTGTATAGGAAGCATCTCACACACTATGGACTAACTGCACTCATCATGGAAGATAATACACGCCTCTCCATCAATTTCAGCAGATGTTGCTTTGGGTACAAAACCACCTTCAAGTCAACTACTGACAGCAGTACTTCTATAGTGATGGCAGATAATATTTATACTGACTACCAGTGAATACAAACTGCAGCAGAGTAACTGTCTGAGTGGGTCTTATGTATCATCTAGAATCAAGAGCTGATTTTCACAGTGTAGTGGCTATCTCCTGTCCTGGTACTAACACCAAACTAAGCAAAAGAAAGAAATGTTTCCTCACAGGTATGGGTAACGCCAGGATTTCTCTGTATAAGGAGAAACTGCATGATTTGGGCTACTGGCCCCACAACTCTATGTTGCAACACACATTAGGAACATGATTTATTTTCACATATTAAAGCCTCAATAAGTTCTGTGAAAATCAAGTTTTGCTTCGAAGTTGCATTTTTGAAGCAGCATCTAATTCATCATGTAGGATCTAATTCAACATTATTATATTGGTTTTTATTTTTTTTAAATAAACTTACCATGGACAGTGGTGGTCCATTTTTAGTACACATCTGAAAGAGATAATTTCCAGGAAATTAAAGCAAAAAATACATTTTCTTTCTAAGACACATACTTTTTTCTTCTACAGGTTCAGGGAGTTGTGTTGTTTTGGCTTTTCAAAGTGTTTTGCCCCACTGTATCTTTTTCAAGTCCTTCTCTTTCATGCCAATTCTCCACATTATAACAGCCATCCTTTTACCCAAAAGGACCAAGTGAGATTCAGAAGGGTTATGAAGACAAGTCTCCTGAATTAACATGGGGAGCATTACTGAGTAACACCATGTAATAGTTTATTATGCCACACTAGTTTTGTATCACATCGAGAGAAAACAAATCCAAACCCTTTAGAGCTGTGTGGATAACGTATGCTAGCCTGGCATTCACTTCAACTAAGTCTGCCTTAGGGCTAGTTTTGCTACCTTTTTTGTTTGTTGCTTGCTTGTTTGTTTTTTAAAGCTGAGGAAAAGAGCAGTGCAGTGGATAATTTGAATAGTCCATGTGCCATTTTCACCCAACTGTAGTATAAGGACTCATACTAGACATTTCAGACACACACTCACTGTATTTGCTAATAGGATTTTAGCCAAAAGATGTGTATTAGGTTCTTTAGTTAACTAGATTTCACTCAGCCTCAGCCTATTGAAGTCTCACTCATAGCCTCAGCCTTCAGCGTCCATACAGACTTCTCTGATGATTCAGAATGAGGCTAGGGAATAGCAGTGGTATCTTTGAAATGGTTAAGGCATGTAATTCCACTGTCAATATTTGAGATAAAGATTTTTAGCATTATTAGTAGCACACATCCATTTCAAGGCAGCAGAAGCAAGATAGAATAAGAGTTCTATGATATGCATTTGCTAGTGGTAGCCTCTCAGACCTGCCTTTCTTTACTTTCTTTCAATTGCTGACCTTTTTTTTTTTTAATTTTTATTTTTAAATATAAGCACTGTTTTACAAATCTACATGCAGATTTCCTAAAAAGTTCTGCCACTAAATAATGGGGCTACAATAATAATATTGCACCAACAGGAGGAACTTTGCTCTCATGAAATCCAGGTACTGAGGGTCTGGGTCTGAGAGAGGAACAAACAGTAAAACCTGCTGTTCTGCAAGGGCTGGCACGCTGAAGACATGAACACACTAAGGTCATGATCACAAGAGAGAGAAAACCCATCAGTTCAGATTCAGTAACTTACATGTCACATGCAGAACAGTGGTGGCAGCGGTCAGGTTTGATTAGCTGGCATCGATCACAGTATCTGATTGCTGCATTCAAGTGGCAAGGGTTAAATCATTAGAACTCATTTAATTTTATAAACGCTTTCCCCCATAACATGAACTGAATCTTCAAGAACTTCCTGCCCTCCCCTCATCTTCCCCGGATATTTTTAAACAAGCCTTCAGGCTCTTTTCAATGGAAATAAGACACTAGCACAGGCAGTTTGAGAGGAGGAGGAAAGCCAACACCTACAGCTAAGCAGAACTGCAAAGAGCTGGCAAGAGCTTCCCAGACCACTCCAGGAACTTAAGACTGGAATTCCCTTACAGGGAGGCTTGTATTCAAAAAAGCCAGGTGTCCTTAAGACCTTGGAAAGTAACAGTAAACTTTGGTAAGAGTTATTCTGAGTAGTTTATGTTTTTGGAAAACTCTACAGCGTTGCTAGTTTCAAAAAAGAGAAACAGATATATATGTATAAAAAAGCTAGATTTTTTAAATGAATATACATAAGTATAAGGCAGCAGTTTCACAGATCATTCATATATAAGTTGGAATAAGAATGCCTATACATACTAAAGGCAAATACAGAAATAGCTCATAGCTAGCTTTGTACTGAATTACAGATGGGAATGAAACAACATTTACTCATTCTTAAACTCTAGCCTTAAGTATGACGTTTCTCCTCTTGCTGAGCTGATACTGCTCAGAAAAATAAGTTTAAAGAGGGATATAAATGATTATAAAATTGAGTAAGAAGTTGTATTTTTTCTATTTCTAGCTGTATTTCTTTGCCATGTTTATTTTTTATAGCCACAATTAGAGATAAATGTTGTGTCCTATCTGCTTGCTAGAACAGGATTTTTATTTTTTTTAAATTCCAAATACTGGCTACATGTTGAGATCCTTAGACAAAGGACTTCAGTTTCTACTGAGGGAAAAAAACCTAGCCCAAACAAATAACAAAACAAGCTCATGGCCTTTGCAATATGTGCTTAATAGATTGTTCATGGAGTGAACATGAAATGAATTTCACTGACTTAAACCAGCAGCTTCAGGAGCACAGAATTATCTTTATATCTCACCTCTCGATGCTGTTGTCGTATAGATAGGCAAGTCTTTAGCAGCTCTTCTCAAAATCTCCTGCTGGGATTCTGGTCTCTCTTCTTTCTCGTACTGTTCTTTATCAGCTTTTGACAAGCAGAACTAGGAGGAAGGGAGAAAATGGAATGAAGGGAAGAGATTAATTGTTACTTTGTGTTCTAGTCAAGCCCCAAGGAAAAGGCTCTATGTATCTTAATCCTATGCCTTTGAACAACTCCGTCCCACTGACCCCAAAAAACCCACAAAATTAAGAAGAACGCTACAGGAATGACAGAAGATCCTCAAAACTCCGTGATTGTCCTGGGCATATTTTAAAAAAAATAATCTTTATCTCTGTTCCATTTTCTATGGCATTTTCCCTTCAACACAAAGAAAGCCAGAGACTTAGGGGAGTTTTAAGAAGGCACAACCTTTCCTTTAACTCCGGATAAGCATAAATGAAGTGAACTGTGAACAAGAGGAATGTGCAACAGTCCTATGCTGCTACAGGGCACTAAAGTTCTCTTATCCCACTTCCTCTCTCAGACTTAGGGGTACAAGCCAAAGGGGAGAAAAAAGAGGGGGTTGGTGGGCTTCATGACTTCAGCAAAGAAGTTGAAAGAGCTCAACTAGAACTTTTACTTGGGAGTAGTCAGCACTAGTCTCAAAATCCACGAGCTGTATTGGAAGCAACCTTCAGCAAATCCTGTACAGTTTCAGAGAGTTACAATTGTGAGCAAAGCATGAGGAGCATTCCTGTTGAAGCCAGTAAAGCTTTACTGGAAGACCTGGAGAGCATTTACTCACTGAATAGTGAAACACTAACTTTGCTATCCACTGACATGATGAGCTTTCCCATTAAGCCCCACAAAACCCAGTGTGCTGACAAGCCCCTGCAGAGCTGGGGCTGAACTCACGATTTCCTCTGGTATTTTTCTGTTCCAAAGCACTTTTCAACTCTGAGCTTCCTGCATGGACTACAAGAGCCCTTTTTATGAGTGCACATAGACGAAGTATTCATGGTAGTGAGTGGAAAATGCTGTGTGTGCAACTGGAACAAAAACTGGCTTACTGTGGTTTAATATGACCATATTTTCCTACCAAGAACATATATATGATTCGTTCACATGGATTTTCCTCTCATCCTGTACTTTTTCCTCTTTTGGATTATAGTCAGTTGGCAAGCAACAATGAAGACTTCACTTACAGAAAGGAGGAAGTAGTAAGACATTGCTGCAATTTCTCTGTGTTATTTCCTAATCCAGAATGCAAATAAATTGCCTGATATCTCCCAGAACCTAGTGAAGTCTCCTGTTTCATACAGTATCATCCCAGTTATTGAGCCTGCCCACCATTCAACGGTGAAACGTGACACATAATCCTCTTTTAAATAATCAAAAACTAGGATCAATGTATGCGAAGAGTGAAATTAAAGTTTAACATTTCAGTCATCGCCAAGAGTTTGATCTCATTTTTTAATATCCGTCTCTAAGCTAGATATTTACTCAAATATGAAAACTGGAGATGCTCACATAAAAAGTTTAAGACAGACAGGAAGCATCATGCCAGCAGACAGCAGTGCAATATGCCTTCCTCCCTATTGCCTTTGCAAGTCTCCTAAGTGACCAGAGACCTGCAATCAAGCAGAGGTGGCATTAAACATGACATGTTACTTCTAGATGACATTTCTATGGCAAAACAACAATGTGCAGAAAAATCATAAGATTGAAAACCCTTTTAATTTGTCCAAATAACATCATAACATTACTCCAAAAATCCTGGATAGGATTTTGGTTTTCCAAACAGCTATATTTCTGTTCTAATTTCAGAAATTAAGAGGGCACAGCCTCTTTGGACAATGGCAGGATATGTTCAAAGACATCAAAAGTTGTCTGTTACCACATAGCTAACAGAATTTCCAATGAGGTTCCAGCAGTTCTTATTGAAAACAGAAGGAGTCCCTTTGTTTCCTTCCTCTTTCTGGATCTTGTATAACGTTGATTGTTCTTATTCTTATGACAAATGTACAGGGATTACACTAAGACAACAGCAGCTGCAGAATCTTTTTTTAGTTCAATAGTAAGATCACAGGATGCTATTTGTTTTGCAAGAATGGCTAATTTGAATGACTAAAAATATATACATTTACATTCTCATACAATGGGGAGATTCTAAAGTTGGATTTTGTTTTTAAGTATTCACTGGTACACGAACAGAAGGGACTTGCCCAGAGACAAAGTGGTAGTGATTTTTTTTTTTTGGTTTGGTTGGTTTTTGTGGTTTTTTTGGTGTGGGTTTTTTGTTGTTTGCTGTTGTGGGTTGTTGTTTTTTTTCCTTTTTTAAGCCAGCCATAGAAGAAAATTGTATTGAATCTGATCTACCTCCACACCTGATATAAGAAATACTGATTACATGCCACATACCCAAACCACCCCTTCCACTCACTGACTATGAAAAGCTTGATACAACGTTACTGCACCTACAGTATGAGTACTGTCACAAGTTTTCTATTCTTGAAGAATCCAAGCCGACAGTAAAGTTACCAGGCATTAGCTTTATAAGCAGCTCTAGTTCATATAGCTTTACAAAATTCCAACAACATGGTTCCAAACACATTTTAATTAGCCAACCTGCTTAGCTGCTTCCTGCAGAACCTTCCCAGATAAAGCTGAAACAAAGGGACTTGAAGACAAGTCCCTTTGAATTTTTGGGTTTAACAATTAATTACTACTCTTTTTTTCTTAGCTGAACAGCAGAATATTCTTTAGCTTTTTTCACTTTATATTCTGCAGCTTTCTAAGATACAGATCTCTAAGCCATAATTAAGTGCTGCAGAGCACTGTTTGCCTTTCCTTAGAAGCATGGTTTTAACTCTTTAAAAAGTGTTTAAGGCTGACATTAGCCTGGAAGTTGGTCTTGCCAAAAAAAATATAAAAATTCAACCTCCATCAAGCAACCAAAACCTCAGTTTAGCCAATTTAAAAGCTGTATAAAACCAAGGAAGGGAAGGAACGTATTTTAAATTTGGTGCCAGTATTTAATCCTTAAATACGCATACCTTGGATTACCTTGTTTTCTGTTTTCTCTGTCTTAGACTTATTGCACTTAATACTGTTCTTTTTCAAAACAAAACTTCTTACAGTCATCATGCATTCTTTTGCCATTATGTAAAGCTCCTTTATGTATTTACTTCTCAACTGTCACTAAACCTTAACCCTTGACTTACTACTAAGTGGTTCAGGTTTCCAGGTTGTGAGTATACTTGGCATTACTACTTTTTTCTTACCCAAAGGTCAAAACCGCCTCAAATGGGAATATAAAAATGTTGTCACTGTATTTGATTTATCAGTGTTAAAATTCCAGGTTTCAAGGAAGCTACTTCACAGCAAAGCACTGAGCGTGACTGTCAAACTTGCGGTGAATTAAACATGCATTTCGCATCAGGAAATGTCATTACACAAACTGTACAGTATTTTAAGAGTAATTTTATAATTTTCATTCATGATACACTGTCATGCTGTTCTATTTTAGATAATGAGAAGTGAAAGGTGAATCATGCAGTACTGCAAACAAGTTTCATCACTGAAAACAGTTCAGCTATTTATAAAAAAGGCATTGACATTTTTCTAGCGTTATATTTACCTCATTAGAGGGGGATGCAGGAGATGTGAAAATTGTCTTCCAATAGGACCATACAAACATGACAAATGACAGATGAAAAACCACAAGGTAGACAACTGCAATAAAATATAAAAATAAGAGTTCAGTGAGTATAGCTGAACAGAACAGGAAATAAAATCCCTGATCTTTGATGAAGGCTGAACTACTACACTATAATTCACCTGATAAAATTAAGTTATATTACACCCTTTTCACTGAGTAGACTTTAGTACTTTAGGAGAACTCACTTAAAATAAAAAAGTACTAAAAAAATAAATCACCAAATGTGATGGTTGCTATTCTTAATGGAAATAATATGCTTTAAGTACCATTCCAAAACAAACTTTGAAGGGAAAAAGCCAAACCAAACAAAACCAACCAGAACTGAACACAGCTTCACCTGTGGTATGTAAGTGACTAACCTTTTTGGATAAAGAAGATGCTAGAATTCCATAATTTCATTCCATCAACGACAGTAAAAACTCCAAACCAGGGGTTTGGAAATGACTGCACTCTGTGATGAGAGCTCTCCAAGTTAAAAATTGGGTATCTTCTTCCAAATCATCACAGGAGTATAATTTGGGAGAGTCCTGCTATTATAGTCACAGCAACAACAAAACGTAGGTGGGTTTAATAGGGAGCTCAATCAATTTACGAATGGGTCTGTGCGATATGGTTGCCTTGAAGACCAGAGACCCAGACTTTATAACCCAGGAAGCTACTTCCTATCTTGTTTCCTCTAGCAGTTTCTTTTACCACTTGTCAAAAGGAAACAGGTTAGTTGTGCCAGAACAGCAAGCCTTAGAAAAGAAGTCATACTAAATATTTACATTATCTTCACTTATATTATCTTCAGCTGCAGGAAGAAGGAAACTTGACCTACTTCCCCGTGCACATAAAGAGAGTCCTTTAAGAAGCTGTAGGACATATTTCATGGATGGCAAAGCAGGCTCGAAACTTTGGGAACTTCCAACAGCTCAGAAAATGCTTCTACAGTCACCGAAAATGCGGTCTTAATTTGTCATCTTTCAGGATTTTCACTGCTTGTTACAGTAAAAAATCCAAACAAACTCTATTTGAGCTTTCTTCAGAGAACTGTGCTTTCTACCTTTGCCTCTCACTCCTCCAACCTTAACGACAGATTTGGCAAATTTTCAGCTGTGGAGCTGACTGAAAATGCAAGAAGCAAAACGTTTTTCTAAAGCCATCCTAAAATTGTCATCCGGATAGAAAAGAATTCGTATATCACTCTACTAGGCACTGCAGAATTAGAAATTGTCTTTTACTAAAACCATACTATACACATTCTAACATAATGCAGTTAAGCAATTGAAGCATGAGAAAATCGTTTGGAAAAGAGGAGGAACAGACACAAAATTGGAGTGAAATCAGCTGCACAGATCAGAGCTTCGGCAGAAGGGGGTTAGAGGAGCTGAATAGAAGGAAAGAGGAAATGAGATACAGGGAAGGGCAAGGCACAGCAAAACTAACTTACAAAGTAAAAATCACCCCTAGAATTCAAATTCTTTTGAAGGATTATTTTTAGTGCACACACAATACTTCAAACAGCAGAACCTCAAAGTCTTGTCACAGGCTGTAGATGCCCCAACACCACACAGAATAACAGGGCACCACAGCTGGCTGCAGCAAGTAGGTTCAGATCTGTGCCAGTGCTACCAGTATTTACTAGAAAGAGGCAGATGTTAAAGTGCTCTTGCAATAACTGAGATCTTGCAATCTGTCACCATCATTAAAAGCAAAGGGCCTGTCCTTGGCAGCCAAAGTGGGGAATTCAAGGAAGAGCAAGGCTTTCACAGCTGGTCCAGTGATGGGCACCACCCAGGCTAGCGGAGAAAGAGCCCGCAATTGGCAGTTCATACTGGCCCCACACTGAATAAATTCTTGCTTCTTTTCCCACTCCCGTGCTGCCCTTCCTGCTGCGATTACAGGTATCTGTCCTGTCAGGTCTCCCCAAGAAGTGAGAGGGAGGAAAGATACCATTTTTGATGGCTTTCCTTTGGCAGTCCATCTATCCACTGCTTTGGGTGGCAGTATCTCTACTTCCTGAAGCATCTTGCATCAGTTTCTAGTACAAACATAAACCAGCTTCATTCCTATTAAGCTCATTTTCTTGTAATTACAAGCTAGATGGAAAATATGGCAAAAATCTCGAAGCCTAATATATTTGCCAGTTTAGCCAGACTCAGTCATGAGGAAGTCCTGGCCAAGCGAAGGGAATTCAGGATTCTTGGTGCCATGCTGTGACCCAGTGAAGTCACTTCTCTTTAAAGGCACTGATGCATATTAGACCATAATTTATGCCCACAGGAGGACAATGTCTTAAGACATGCTGTTAGCATCCTCCTAAAATATGCTAAGCCCTCCTAAGGTTTAACATCCTTTTCTGAATCATTCTTAACACTACTTCCAAGACAAAGATTGCAGAGAGGTAATAATATATAACAGAAGTACATTATATTGTTACAAGATTCAGAGTTGACTTTATTCCCCTATCCTAATGGATATAAATCTAGACAAGAATATGAAATTCCAAAGAAACAATTAGCCTTAATGAGATTAAGAAATCACTACTAATTTAATCAGAAGTTGTAATTAAGTACTGGAATAAAAGGATTTGGACACAGTACACTGAAATATGGAGTACAATATATTTGCTAAGACGCACATTATTGATTTTCATAGCAATGTCACTGGTACTTTGGCCTTTTGACTCTTCTGATGTTATAAGCTAACTCACAATAGCCAGGAAATACAAACTCAATAAAACTGATGACAGCTTTCATTTCAAATGAAAAAACTCTTCACATCTCATTTTAAGATCAACCTTCATGGTAAAGAAATTCACGCACGCAGGATGCCTGTGACATTTAGAACTGAAGGGGCAAAAAGTGTGCAGGTGACAGCCGTTAAAAGCCTAACAGTCAGGTTCCAACAAAACTGTCAGTCTCATTAATTAATCAAGCATTTTTCTTCTCTGGTAGATTTAAGAGCACCTGCTTCAGTCAGACAGGCCCCACATTTGTAATAAAGCCAGAGATCTGACCAACATCATGGCTCTGCCAGGCTTCTTTAACTGAGACACAGATTTTGCCGTTCTGGAAGAAACTTGAAAGTAAAACCTATTCATAAACAGGTCAACAGTAAAGCACAGCAGCAATCTGCAGAATTTTGCAAAGTTGAGGGAAGCCCAATTGTGCAATATGATATAAAAATCCAGGGTAAGACACAGCTCCTACCTTAAACGGCTTGCAGTTTATTTTGGAGGTTTCCCTACTCTTTCACCTCTTAATTAGAAAATGAAAGAAGACAGATTCCATCAAAGTTCCCTCCTTTCAGAGTGTTCTCCTGGATGTTCCCCATCAGGAAGAAAACCGCTAGACTAGCTTTGAGTTCTATGCTCTTTTGCAAAAATAAGAGATGACAGCCTCTGACCCATGGTCTCATACTGTGAAGACAGGCCTCTGTGGACAGCCAAAATGCAAATCTTTGCTTAATCCACCACTCGTGTCCCCTCATAAACTGAAATAACTCTCAAACAAATATCCCATCAATCACTTGTATTTCCACAGGAAAAAAAAAAAAAAAACACAACAAGTTTTATAAAAATCCCCTGTATTTTGAATTTCTGGAACTGAATCACCCTTTAGACTAGTTTTTGTTCACAATTAAAATAAGTGGCAGAGCAAGATTGCTGGCATTTTTTTGGTCAGTTTGTATTTCTGTAAGTACTACCCACTGTGGCATACACTTGCCAAAGCCAATATGAAGACTTAAGTTAACTTTGTCAAAACAAGGTCTTAACCACTTGGCCTGGAAATTTAAAATTACAATATGCAGCCACGTTTGAAATGGCTGTGTTTGCACAGTCCCAAACCAGTCATAAAGAACGGAGTTCTGAAGAATTTGGTAAGCTGCTTGGAAAACAGCAAGCAGTAGAACAAAAATTCTTCCTCTTCCAGAAGTCTTTCAGGTTACAGGGTGTGTTCAGGCATAAACACAAAATGGACTTGTGGATTTGCTGCAGTTCCTTCTTTTTATTTTTTTTTTTTTTGTGTCCTTAGAAGGTAGCCATTTTAAAATATTTGCAAACCTAAATCACAGTTGTGTTACTTGCAGGTCTTGTCACCATCCCAAGCTTGTGGTACTAGAAGCTAAACAAACTCAACCTCACAATATTTGCCTCGTTTCTTAGCACTAAGCTACTCACTATACAGAGCTTTTGTGGATTTGCTGCAGTTCCTTTTTTTTTTTTTTTTTTTTTTTGTGTCCTTAGAAGGTAGCCATTTTAAAATATTTGCAAACCTAAATCACAGTTGTGTTACTTGCAGGTCTTGTCACCATCCCAAGCTTGTGGTACTAGAAGCTAAACAAACTCAACCTCACAATATTTGCCTCGTTTCTTAGCACTAAGCTACTCACTATACAGAGCTTACACATAAAGGAGTACTTTTAAATTCCATGTCCCTTAAGATTTTTGTGCAACAAAATGATTCACATCTTAAAGAAAAAAAAACGTAAAAAAATTTACCTTTTTCTGCAGTTGAAGAAATAGTAACTGGAAGAGAAAAAAAAAAGACACATGGTAAGTAAATACGTATTGAACCAAAAGTTTGGCTACAATTGAGATATTTGAGATAGGTGACTTGTTCCAAAACATACTTCAAGTGTTAGTATAGCCTCCCTACCGTGCTCTGGGGTAAAACTAGTAAAACTCTGGGGGAGCTAGTGTTCCTCCTGCCAGCCCTTGAGGCTTGGTGAGTCAATGGAAGAGCTGCAGAGACCCAGTTCCCTGCACCAACCAAGTGAGCACAATCCTTTTCACAGACATTAATTAGATCATCATTTATGTATGTTCACCTTCAGATATGCACCTAGCAAAGTTTTCTGAGGCATGTCAACAACTAGGCCAACAGCTGTACCACTGGAAAGCAGAAAATGAAATAAAAGAAGTTCTTACAGAAGTTCCTGTGAAACTGTGTTATATATAACCTACTTCCCTCTTAGTTGTTTCCCACCACTTTTCTCTTCCTATCACATGCTATTTTTGACTTTTTTCCCCTGACCTGAATTCTTCAGATATAGTTAAAACCTCTCCACTTCCTTCTCTCCTACATCCTCATCTCCTTTTATCCCAACAGCAAATCCTATTGTTCAAATTTACCTTGTACACTGCCTGACTAGTACATCATCCAGCCCTCAGGCTTCTCCAAAACCATCACACTTCATCAGTTCAGGTAAGAGGCTGAACAGAGAGCTGCTGCATTTACTGGGTCACTTTGTATTGCTCCCCTTGCTGAATCTCTTCCTTAGACACTGAATTCCTGAAATTCTATGAGGAAACGATGTTTTCCTGACTCTTTATCCTATGCAGCAAATTTAAGCTTCTGGTCATCAGCATGAGCAGAAGAACAACAGAGCACACCCTACCTGCTGCAGTTCACTTCAGTCCACATTGTCTCCTGTCTCTCAGCTCTACCATTTCTACAGTCATCAGCCTGTGCACCAGTTCAAAAGAGCTTTTTCCTGATGCACACTACAGTCTTAAATCTGCAGAGCTTCAGTACACATTCCACACCTCCTTCTGAAGGGTTACTTCAGTCACAGAGGTGGCATGTGTCTCACTTAACTGCAGATATCTATAGTAAAAGGGTCTGCAACTATATTATGCAACTATGCCTCATTTTGTAGTCAACAAGAGACATAATGAGGCAATATCTCAATGTATAGATGACTTATTTTTGTTCAGATACATGGGGTTTGTTTGGTTTGGGGGGCGTTTTGCTTTTTGTTTTTCCCTTTTCTTTCTCCCCCTCCCTTAAAATATCCACTTACACCCTCTATCTGTCCATGGAAGTCTCTATGAAGCTAATGGAGAAGATTCTGGTTCTTTCCATCTAAAGAAGGAAGGATTTGCCATTTAGAATAGAACAAGTTTGGCTTCAAACTAAAGGAGGTCAATCCTAAAGAATAGCTTAATTTCACATTAGTTATGCATACGTGCACATCCTCATCCCATGTTTCTATCTGAAACAGGGACACAATCCACACAGAAAAACAGACCTGAAGCACACGATTACCTGCAAAGTATATATGTAAATATAAGAACAGGTCCCGTTGTGTCATGGTACAGTCTCAGTACTACTTCACTGCATACTGCAGAAGTCGCATTGTTTTAAAGCAAGTCCTATGAGTGTTTTTGCTTGAATTTTTACTAACGTGTTATTTTTCCAGTTAGAACTTTTTAAACAACACATGGAGAAAATAAAATCATTAAAAAGGTGAAAAGCAAAACAAGCTTGCTGAATAGAGTTGTTTGCTTAACGTCAAAAAAATACTAAAAGTACTTTAGATTAAGCTTTTACATTGGCTTCTCATATATCTTGAGTAAACACCTTTGCACACACCTGGACAAACATGTATTTCCCTAGATAAGAAATATAAAAATACTCTTCATTAGCCTCTAACAGGATGGGAGAACATCATCATGTATGTAACTACAGGAAATTTTTTGTAAGTAATTATGGTTAAAGCACTCCATAATCTCTAGCCTCATTTTTGCTTTCGGTACAAAACAAAATTGTGAGCCAAATTCAATGCTTGAAGACTCAAAATAATGAACAGTCTTTACACACAGTAAAAAAGCTTAAGATTGTATCACCTATGAGACTTCATCAAAAAGATTCCTAAATAAACTTCATAAAAATTAATTAAAGCTTCACAGCACCAGGAAGATAATTTTCTCTTTCGTATCTAGGTCTCTTAGGTCAGAATGCTGTTATTAGACTGTGCAGAACAATCTTAGTTTGGCAAAACTCCTGCAGTTTGAGGTAAAAGCCAACGCTGAAACACTTGTGATTTTCATCCTGTCTTACCATCCTCAAATGAAATAAGAATGAAAGATGTCCGGTTTTCTTCTGCGTCAGAAGTTGATGCAAATTGTTTCTCTTTCTATCCCTTTCACTGTTGTTATTCTCACTACCAAATAGATTAAATGAACAACAGTCCTACTGCTTGTCCAAATTCACTCAGCAATTCAATCACCAGTTTTACAGGATCTTTATATGCAAAGCCTTCCTTTAAATAAGTTAATATTTAATCTTTGTGTAAAACAGACAGAAGTATTTGCTAGGCTGGCAACGTAATGAGCAGTTTTATGCCATTAAGAAATCAATTGAGCTTTTGAAATCTGGTTCAGGAAGAAAATCACATAAGACACCCTGGCCTGTAGTTTAAGTTACAAGCTTAGGTCTGTATTGCTCTTCTCCTCTGCTGCTTCTAACTACTTAGATATTGCTGTCAGCTTCTGCTAAATTAATAGAATTTTCACTTCAAACATTTCTAAAACATGGTTTCTTGTTTGGGGTGTGTGATGGGGAAGAAAAAAAGCAGCACTGCCTTTTTGCTGGTATTTTTTTGAATAAAGTAAGCACTACATACGATTTATATGCTAACCTCAGGATGCAACAGCACTATACACTAGATTAGGTGCATCAGCACAAGTTAGTGCCTTCAGCACCACAGTCAACACAAACCGGTCTGCATTTCAGAAATGCAAGCATTTTTCTTTTGAGAATTTTCAAATATCTCACCATATCATTCTACTGCTCAGATACCACAGGAAAAATAAGAATAATATTCTTAGGACTGGCTTCTTAATAGTCAGTTTCTGGTTTCTCAATCTAATTTATGAAGTTTTAGCAAGATATAGCTAGGGAAGGATAAAAAAATACGACAACAGTGAAACCTGCAGGTAACTTCCTTGCAAAGAGCTCAAAAGCAGGCACTCTTGTGCTCACACACACCATGAATTTCCACATTGGCCTCGTAGTTTCAAAGGATTCAACGTCTCGGCATTACAGCACTGAGCAACTCAACCGATGTGAACAAGCCCCGTCTGTCTGACTGCAGCGCAGAGATTTACTTTGGCTACCTCAGGGTTTCCAAAATCAGCTCCACTAAGGAAGGAGGTCAGCAAAGCCTGCCTGTGAAGAGAAGTAGATGAGCCCACACTGAACTTCATGCTGGTGCAGCTTGTTCAGGGATGTAGAGGCCTGATACGCTCCACTAGCTGGTCCTGCGCCACTAAGCAGCTTACACCGTGGACCTCCCAATGCTTTGGGATCACTGCAATATGACTAAGTATGTGGTTTCACTTTCACAGAATACTACCTCCAAAATATAAAATATAGCCTTTATTAGGTGGGATTCAAATTCACTTTTTAACTTGGTCAGCTTAGAGGACAAGCAAAAATTCCAGTTTTGACTTGAAGAGCGGAAAAAGTTGTCTCAGTTTTGATTTAGACACCTAGCATCACCCCTGGCGGCAAAGACACTTCTTCCTTCATGACACCAGTCGTTACACCTCTTCCTAGATTACTCTTCCTTACATTGTTGTCTGTTATCTTTCATCTCATCTATGTCATGGGAATGAAAGAGTTGGAAGCCTCTTCTAACCTATCCTGTGATGAGTTATCACAGGAAACAATCCTGCAGATGTAGGGACATCATTAGTTGTGTAACAAATGAGCCCGGGAGAAAATGTCACTTGTTGGAAGCATTCTTCTTGGAGTATGAAGTGACAGAGGTGCAAGTCTCAGAAAGCTTTGGAGAATTTTTAAAGCTGCTTTAAGGAAACCTCCCAGAACATCTTGGAAGAACAAGTATGTTTAGGGAGCTGGTTTGCTTTCAGTTTCAGGCTTATTTTTAGGATTGCTATGAAGTGTTCAAGCACCCTCCAAATCACCGCATAATAGGAAAAAACCCCAAAGCAAAGAGGAAGAACGATCTGCCAAGACCTTGCAAGAGGTGTGCTAAAAGATGACACGTTCACCTTCAACCTTGGAAGAACCACAACCACCCCACCCCCCACTTTACAAAACCCACAGACATCTCCCTACTCCCCTAAAAGGCATATTCCAATCAAAGCCAGATATGCTCCCTGCAGAGCAAGAAATTCAACTGCAACTAATGCAGAAGTATAGGAAAGGAAAAGAACTGATCTTGTTACTCATGTGCTATGTTTATTTCCCCCTGTCCCCACCCACAATGGCTCCTAGCAGGAGTCATATTTGGGGTATTACAAGCCTTTTCACGAACCTCAAGAGTAACATTCACATTTTGGCTGACATTCCTCATGGGTGCGAAGAAAGAGTGATAAATGTGCAATTGCATCCCTTCACCAGATGTACAGCCTTAACTTTTCTCAGGTTTTAAGGAAAAGGATTAAAATATATTTATACCTGCATACACATATATTCCAGAAGTTACCACTACTGAAACTCAACCGAAACTCCCCACGGGCATTACCCTATGCACAAAGGCAAGCACCACTGATGTTATCCTGAGTTTTTCCTTTGTTCAGAGAATGGGATGTAATTGAAAGTATAACTTAGATTTATGGTAACGTAATTCCCATTTGTAAGTGCAGACCTTAATCACTCACAAGAAGATGGTAGAAACATGACTTACTGACACAAGCGGGACAGATGATGAGTGAACTTCCTTGAGCTCATTTAGCTTCTGTTACAGGGCGGTGCCAGAGCACAGAGACCTTAG